AATGTAGAAAACCACTCCTCTTTTCTTACATCTTGCCAATGCAGTAAATATTTTCCTTAACTTTGGTTGAACCAATATTTGTTCATGTTGCTTTTGGATATGTACTTCTTGTAAGCAGATTATGTCCAATTTTAGTTTCTCTAATTTATACAATGTTTTCCTTCTTTTAATAGCTGAATTAAGTCCATTTATATTGATTGTAAACAATTTTTTCTCCTCTATGTTTATATTTTATAAGTAGGATTTATTGCTCTAGTAGATCTTGGTTCACATTGTTCTCTGATGTTAATGGCGCCTATTGCTTCTTCTTCTTTCTCAGTCACAACTGTGCACTCCTCTTGGAATTCAATTAGTGATTCTTCTTTTCCCATCTCCTCATCTTTCCCTTTCAAATGTTCTGCATAAATAGTTCTGCTTTCTCAGTTGAATCTATTCTGTATCTTTGTCCTTACCATACAAACATAAGACCTTCTGGTATCAGCCATCTATAATTAACATCTTTTTAAAGTAGAATTTTAGTCAAGAATTGATATTCTCTTCTCTTCTCTCTCACTCTTCTTGGTATTTGTTTCAAAACTACAATCCCCTTGCCTTTATATTTCAGTTTCTTGTCTCTTGCCTTTTGTAGTATTTGTGTCTTAATTGCTTTCTTGGTAAATCTAATATGAACTTCTCTAGGGAGACCGTTTCTCGCTGCATATCTTGTATAGACTCGAAACACCTCATCTATACCGTCCATCATCTTTTCTTTGGTTATCTCTAGGGTGTCAGCCAGAATTTCTATTTCTGCCAAATTTTCTCCCTTTTCCTCTTCAATGTTTTGGAATCTGAGATAAAATTCTGATCGAACAATATCCCATCCCAATATTCCACTGTTGTCTTTTTCCATCACATTCAATCTGCTGTCGATATCTCCAATTTTCTTATCTCTTTGTTCATCTTTTTCTTTAAATTTTTGAAGTCTTTCCTCATATTTTATCATCATTTGGTGAATATTCTCAATTTTTTGTTTGTTTTCCCTGTTTTTTGTTCAATGCTCTCTGCTCTTTGTTCTATCCTTTCTATTCTTTTCTCAATATTTTCTGTTTTCATTTG